AGATAAAAGGCACAAAAATTGAAAATGTTTCCAATAAAGCAGGGCGAAGAATCTAGTCGGGAACCGATTCCCAAGACGAATGCTACGAAAGAAAAGTTTCCACTCCCTTTTAAGTAAACCAGCCGTTATCAGTTACTTTAATCAGTAAAATCTTCTTTTTCATTTTTCGAATTTATTTTGGAAAAATAAAAATTGATGCTTCGTAATGTTCCGAAATCAAGGTTATCCTAAATCCTAAAGATGTTCGGATATACCAGGTAATCACAGGAAGAAATCCCATCATTGGAAAGTAAATAATTGGGTTCGGAGTCGATTCCTACGATTTCAAGCTTTCAATAACCGGGAACCTCGCCGCCCAGCACTAATTCCAATGCATTTTAAGCTTTGAAAGTCATTGAAGTTTGGTCTCCATTTTCTAGTTAATTTTACTTTTGAAACCAGGCAACCCCACATCCTTCAATGGAAAATATCTCTACTTCTATTCAAGGTAGACTGTTATTTTTTTCCACCAAAAGAAAGACAAATGAACAAGCTTTTAGTCGACATAAAAAACTCCACATGCCCGACGATTGACGAGCGCCTGATTCCAACGTGTCGTGACACATTTACTTTTCATCTTCGAAAAGAAACGGTTTTCTGCGACCCCCCCCCCCTCCCCATCCCTACCCTGCCCTTCACCTCGTACAGTAGTAATCCGGATGGATTAAAAGCCAATTATCTCATTATCACTCATCACCACTGCTAATTCTAAAATCATAACCGCTCTCAGATCAATGAATTACATCTATAATCCTGGAATCTCTATCCGCTATTACAGTTAATTGTTCTACTATGTATGCATGTAATACACTATTGGACACAATCAAATGCATTTTTTGTACTAATCAGAAGGCGTCAATCTCATATAAATGGGCAAGGAAAAAAAAGCCAATTACCTATTCCCTCATCAACTCTGTGGTCAATCTGGAAATGGGTTCAAATTTCACATAAATCAAAAGGACTACGTAACACTGTACGTATCCAAACTCGGTCGTACTATCGTTCGTGCTATAAATTATTTCTAAAATGTCCAGCTAACATACTCAACAGATGAGACAAACTATTTACTGACTTCTCTTTCTGAAGCAATATTTGTTTCCCTTTACGTGGTAAGGAAGTTAATTCTCAAGTTGCCAGAATTGTTTGAGGGAAAAGTATAGAATTGTCCTTTTCATAAGCAGACAGCGAACTTTTGGCATAACTTCTTCAAGCAGTGATTTGAATTTATTTATGAGAATGTAAAACTGTTGTACTATAAATTCCCTTTCACATTGTAAGTGTAATATTAATAATATTAGTAACACTTATCTGAAGTGAGAGTCAGAATTTCTGTTTTTGCACCAGTCTGGCATAAGCAGAATAGAAAAAACATTTCTGAGAAAACAGTTTCCGTTTTTGGTCTCGTTGCAAATTTAATTTAATTTAATGTAATAAGAAAGACACATTTTCAAGCACTATCAAAAGTTTCAAATACATTGGTGTAATTGTTATCGTCATTTCCTCCCACATCGCACCTTCTGGTTCATTCCTACAACTTGATTACGCAAGATGGGTCATCCTATTTCCCAATATAATTGAATAGAACGTTTCCCCAATGTATTGGCAGCACCGGTGTATATTTCATGTGCAATGTTACAGAAATACGAGACGACGCGCCTGTACTGTAGTGGGCTATACTGTCGGAACGAAGGAACATAATCTTTTCACTCTGTCTCACTTTCTTCGTTTTTCTCTATTTCATTATACTTTTCCCATCTATTTTTAAATGACTTTAATGGTAGTTAAAGAGTAATGCCGCCGTCGACAGACACTATCTAAGTCATGTGAGAGGCGGGTGATTCAACCCTGTCTTTCACAGCCAATCCAGGCTCACAGGGACACAGCGTACCAACGGAAAGATGTAGAAACTCGATGAACTTACTTCCCTAAACAAGACTCGAACTCATGTCTATTGTGTGGAAGAGATAAAAGCATAATCTTAACCCTATCCGGACGCCCTGGGATCATTTTGTACCCCCGGGGTTGTATTCTTCACAATTTAGAATACAATGTACTTGTAGTGCGAAGATCTCTTTGAAACTTTCATTATTTCTCAAAAAGTCATTTTGAACGACTGCAATGCAAAGCGTACGGATCGGATTAACGAGTAAATTTCCTCTTTGGAAAGTGGTGGCAAAAAGTTCCCTTCGTCGTATGGATACGATAGTAAAACACGACGTACGGATATGGTTAAGTGGTGGCACAGAGTTCCCCACGTCGTATGCATACGATAGCAAAACACGACGTACGGATAGGGTTAAGGGGATGTTACTGTTCACTGACATCGCGTGATTCAAGTTAATAATGGAGGGTTACCTATTCCCCCATGGCCGAGGAGAGGCTGACAGGTGATGGAATTACTCTTATCACCGACGGCCGTGTAATCCATACCCAGCTGTGATATTCTATGTTAGGCCTTACTAAAAGGGGTTGTCAGACCTATTCCTGAAATAACAAGAGCATTGGACAAACAATCTCATTTACTCGAAACCGAATACGCGGTATCGTGTTGACACATTTGTTTTGTATGAGCTTGATTCTGTCGTCGAAAGGTATCACCAAGTGATGACTATATTCAAGTAGAATCCGGCCCGAGACCCATGTAACACGTGACGTAATGTCGGCGAATGGTGACTCTCCCAAAATTTGTACATGCACTGTTTGTTTCGATCTCTTTTGACGGGTTTTACCTAAACAGAAATGCAATGTCACGGTAAAAGTCTATTCCATTCGGATTGTAGTTGACCTGTTTCAGACATCCAGGCCCTCCACTCTACGCGGGGCCACTTTTGGGTCGCCTTGACGTCATTCACGAAAGATAGTTTTAACTTGTTG